CGTCCTCTCCAAGTTGCACCTACAAGGCAGCAAGTGGCTGAACCCCATCCACTCCAACCAGACAGTGAGTGCCAGCCCCAGCATCCAGCCCCCCGCCACTGCCTGTCCCCCACCTCCCTAATCCATCCTGCCATCCCCGTAGACTGTTGAGTACGTGGCCTTCACCACCATCCCGGGGCTGACGGGGGTCATCATCACGCTGGCGCTCATCCTCATGGTCACGTCCTCCACTGAGTTCATCCGCAGGAACTACTTCGAGGTCTTCTGGTACACGCACCACCTCTTCCTCATCTACTTTGCCGGCCTCGTCATCCATGGCATTGCGTAAGGCTCCTCACCGCTCCCTGAAGGCAGGACAGGGAGGGGCAGCAGCCACAGACCCACGGTGGGGCAGCCCTGCCTGCCCCAGCGGAGCGGTGCAGCCGCAGAGAGGGTCCAGTGGGGCTGTGGGCTCCCCGTTCCCAGGGCTGGCTAACCCAGCTGACCTCATGCAGCGTGGCTCAGCCCCAGCTGGTGAGGCAGAGGCTGGCCCCTGGGCTCACCCCTCGCCTCCCCACAGAGGGCTGGTGCGTGGGCAGACGGAGGAGAGCATGGAGGAGGTGCATCCCCATTACTGCGCCCACTATCTCGTGCACAAGGACGAGGACTGCAGCCACAACTGCTGCAAAGACCCCGAGTTCGGGAGCATCCCTGCCGAGGTAGGGCAGCGATGGGGTGGCTGTGGGGGAAGAAGCCCCTTCTTTGCCTTTGGGATGCTCCAGCCCTGCCCTCCCAACTCTTTGCTCTCCTCCATCCCTGCAGTCCTGGAAGTGGGTTCTGGGCCCCGTCCTTCTCTACATCTTTGAGCGGATCCTCCGGATCTGGCGTGCACGGCAGAAGGTGGTTGTCACCAAGGTGGGTGGTGCAGGAGTCCACATTAAAATTTATTACTACCATGTCGTGTGTGTAAAGTTACTACCGGGCCATGGGAAGGACAGGGACTGCTGCCAAAGCCACTCGCACAAGGACAGGAGCCAGGCTGGGTGCTGAGCCCCATCCCTGCCCCACAGGTGGTCATGCACCCTGCCCGTGTGCTGGAGCTGCAGATGCAGAAAAAGGGCTTCTGCATGGAGGTGGGGCAGTACATCTTCGTCAACTGCCCTGCTATCTCCCTGCTGGAGTGGCACCCCTTCACCCTCACCTCGGCGCCCGAGCAGGACTTCTTCTCCATCCACATACGGGCAGCTGGCGACTGGACAGAGCATCTCATCGACACCTTCCAGCAGCACAAGCCAGAGATGCCCAGGTAGGCTGGGGAGCACCTGAACAGACCATCCCAGGGATTTGGATCCAGTACTTCTTACCCAGGCCCTCCCTTGGCCAGGATCAAGGTGGACGGCCCCTTTGGCACGGCCAGTGAAGACGTGTTCCAATACGAGGTGGCCATGTTGGTGGGAGCAGGCATCGGCGTCACCCCCTTCGCCTCCATCCTGAAGTCCATCTGGTACAAGTTCCAGCAGGCTGACCAGACCCTCAAGACCAAGAAGGTATGGGAAGCCCCATGGGACCAGCCATGGGTTTCTCCATGCTGGGCTTCCCAGTCCTTGACATTGCATCCTTCCACCCCTCCTGCTCTGCTCCACCTTGAGGAACCCCTCTTCCCTTGCATCCCAGATCTACTTCTACTGGCTCTGCCGGGACACGGGAGCCTTTGCCTGGTTCAATGACCTGCTTGCCTCGCTGGAGCAGAAGATGGCCGAGTCGGGCAAGGCAGACTTTCTCACCTACCGGCTCTTTCTCACCGGCTGGGACACCAGCATCGTGAGTTGACCATGGGCAGACATGACTGCAAGGGGGGACATGGAGTGGCTGAGGCAGGCAGGAGAGGGAGGGCAAGCACGTCAGTGGCTTGCAGGCAGAAACTCTGGGAGCAGTGTTTGGTGGGCATCAGCAACGGATGCTCCTCTGTGGTGCAGGACTGGAGGTGGGCTCATGGGTGGCGGCTGGGGTCCTCACTGTCCCCACTCTGCCCAGGCCAACAATGTGGCACTCCGCTTTGACACTGCCACGGACACAGTGACAGGCCTCAGGCACAAAACCATCTTTGGTCGGCCTATGTGGAACAGCGAGTTTGCGGCAGTGGCTGCAGCCCACCCCAGGTGAGAGCCAGGCAGGGGGTTTGGGGTGCTGGAGCTGGGAGGCACCCCCTCCTCCCCAGCACCCAGCACCAGGCTGGGCAGTGCTGGTTTTGGGAGAGGCATGCTCACGTCCTGCAGGGGCCCCAAGAGGCTCTTAAATCACTTCATCTGTGAGCTGCTCATCCACCGCTGACAGCCTCGTCCTGTGTGCAGGTCGGTGGTTGGCGTGTTCCTCTGTGGGCCAGGGGCCTTGGCAAAGAGCCTGCAGAAGTCTTGCCACCAGCACTCCAGCCTGGACCCCAGGAAGGTCAAATTCTACTTCAACAAGGAGAACTTCTAAGTGGCAGCCAGGCTGGGACCCCAGCGGACAGGAGACCCTGACGGTATTGCCTCACCCCCCATGCCACAGCATGGCCAGGAATAAGCATCTGCTAAAGAGCGTGTGCACCAAAGCCAGGCAGGACATGGCAAAGTACTTCTCCGTGAGAAACTCGAGGTTCAAAGACTGCTGCCTTCCTGACCTGGTCTACAAGGGTTCCTCATGGGGGGAGCGGGCCTGCAGCTCCGCACAGCCCCCCGTCAAGAAACCAGAGGCACATGCTGTGATGATGCTGCTGGAGCAGCGGGAAGCAGCGGGAAGACCCAGCAGGCTGGGCAGAACCACGGGACAGGGACAGGACAAGGGCATGCTGAGGAGGCACTGGGGGCCAAATGTGCAGTCCTCCCTGTAAAAGGGTAAATTACATTTTCCTTCCTTTGCAATAAAAGCCACCGTGGTGACTCAGTCTGTGCAGGTGCGAAGGAAGCACAGTCTTTGCCCCCTTGCAGGGCTGCAAGAAAAAAGGTGGTTCATAGCAAACCCCCTGGGGTGCAGGGTAAGGCAGTTCCCCCTCTGCAGGGGCCCACTGTCATGACCAAAAGCCAGCCTGCACCGCCCAGGGCGACTTCAAATGCAGCTCATGCAGACAACAAATTCTGCTCAAGCATATGCAGAGAAGAGGGGGGAAAAAAACACCCTCCCAGAGCAGGTCAGTGTGATAAATGATACAGCAATTGGATACGGAGCCCTTCCTGCCCGGTCAGCAGGACAGAAAGCCGAACTCCCCCTGCTGCCCTTCCCTTACACCCCCGTGAACAGCTGTGAACAGCACAGCACGTAAAATGCCACGAGTAGATCTTGCGCTGCTGCTGGGGAGAAGGACGGAAGGCGAGTGGTTTGGACTAGCCTGGAGCCAGGCCAGACTGTTCCCAGAACCCAACAGTCCCATTACAGCCTCCACCAGAGACCAAACAAGGCAGCCAGACACATGGCTTTACTCAAACCCTCCTCCCAGTTTATTTCAAACATCATAAAACATACAGACAGAAAAAAGAATGAATGGGAAGGGAAAATGTTAGCAGGGGAGATGAAACCTCTCCCAAAATGCAGCATCAGCTCAGACAGCAATGGGAAGCAGCTGCCATGGAGCATCACCTCTGCCCACGCAGACGGCATCTCCACCACGTGCCTGCCAGGCCTGCAAGAAGGAAGGGGAGGAGAGTGAGCCCCGGCATGGAGAGGAGAAGCAGGGCAGATCCCCATCCTGAGCAGCTCTCTGATTTACCAATGGGGAGCAGGCACAAGCCAAGGACAGGTTAAGTACGTTACCTGTCAGGGCGCCCCGGTGGACTTCTGGATCTGCTCCTTTAGAATAAGGATGCTCTGCCGTTGCTCCGGGGGCAGCATGGCGATCTGGTCCGCCGTCAGCTGCAGAACCTGCATGATCAGGGCTGCCTGTGGGGAGAGGGGGGAATGAGAGACATGCCCTGCCAGAGCAGCCACAGGTTACCACAGCCAGGAAGCGGCTCTCCCTGCCACAGTAAGGCACATAGGAAGCGCCGCTCCCATTGTCTCACCCTTTTCCTTTTGTCCTCTTACCTTCTCATGATCCTGGGGGGTGACCTGGCTCTGTCCAGGGCTAAAGCCTCCGGGCTGACCAGCTCCTTGGACCCCTGCCCCAGGAATGCCCCCCCCCTGCATACCTGCTCCTGCCATGTTAGGAACCTGTGGGCATGAGAGAGGGGGTAAGGACCAAGGGGGCTTTGGACCCAGTCATACAAACACAGGAACATAAAGCAGATGATCAGATGGAGGCCCTCACAGACAGCCTGAAGATAGGCAAGCATGGAGAGAGAAACAGGCTATCATGCGTTTTATGTGCTCTCCTCTCCCTCCAACCCCTGCACTCCTTCCTGCGCATCAGGAAGAGCTGGAGAAAGGCCTGAGCCTTGTCCTGTCCCCAGCAGATGGGCAGTGCCTGGGGAGATGGGACAGATGCCCTGACCCCCTCAGCCAGCCACTGATTCAGGCCTGGTGCCTCCCGGAGGTGCTAATCTGTGTGATGTCCTCCCTTCTCTAGCTGCTGCAGAACATGCTCACACCCCCAACCAGCCCCTATCTACAAGACAGGGTCAGTGCCCAACCAGCTGAGCAGAGGTGTTACATGTACCTGGCGGGGCCCCTGCGGGCCACTGGCTCCCATGTTAAGTGGCCCAGGACCCTGTATACCACCAGGCATGGGCCCACGCGGATTGGGACCAGGCCCTCGAGGCTCCAGGCCCCGTGGCTCCATGACCCTGGCCTCCATGGCCCTGGCCTCCAGCACTCGTGGCTCCAGGACCCGTGGCTCCAGCCCTCGTGCCTCCAGGGCTCGTGCCTCCATCACCCGGGGCTCCAGCCCTCGTGGCTCCAACCCTCGTGGCTCCAGCCCTCGGGGATCTCTTCCAACTGCAGAGGAAAGACAAGAAGCTGTTGAAGAGAGCAGCACCGCAAGGAGCGTGGGAGCAAGCCTGCTGCCTCCTTTGGCAGCTAGCAAGTGCCCCGGAGGTGCAGGGCTGGGGGCAGAGGGGACATGCCTCGAGGAAGTCCCTTGCCCAGTGGAATTGTCCCTCTTTGCCCTGGAGTCAGTCGTTTCACTGCCCAAACCCCCTTCTGATGTCTCGCACTGGGGCAGCGGGCTCCACTCTGACTTCTTGTCTGTACGCTTTAAGCCACGCATTATTTCATGCCCCCTCTCTCACCTCGAGCATCCATCAAGGGCCCCCGTGGCTCTCCCATCAGTGGTCGGGGTTCTCCCATGGGTCCCCCCCTCATCTCATGGGGGGGGCCACGGCTGTCATGACCAGGCATATGGTGCATAGGGGCTCCCTGGTGGGGCGGCCCAAGGTAACCTCTGACGCAGAGAGACGAGGAGAGCAAAGCAGGAGGAGGAGAAAAAGCGAGAGAGTGTGAATCAGACACTGGCTTGGCAAGGTCTGGGCAGAGCGCTGGGATTGCCCCCGAAGCCGGCCACAGGGAGGAGGGCGAGGCTGGCACAGGGATGGGTGCTGTTGGCCCCATGGCACAGGGCTGCTGCCATCACCCCAGGGATGCCCCGTCCCCGGGGGAACAGGCCAGCCCCCACGGTTGGCAGCACCAAGGCCCCTGACTGGGCAGCAGTGACTCCTGGAAGGCTGGTGCCATCCCTGTCCTCAGTGAGAGGTCACCCTTGGGCAGGGGACAGTGCCAAGGGCTCCTCTCCTTCCCTCTCCCCTCACCTGGGCTCCACTTCTCCAGTGACTGAGAGCAGGGTCCCTCCGCGAGGGTCATTCGGGGCATCTCCCAAAAGGCCTCGGGGCGGCGGGCCACTAGCAGGTAGAGGGCCGCGCTGCATAGGGGCCCTCGGGTCTGGCATGGGCACTGCCAGGGAGACACACAAGAGCTCGTGAGGATCTGCATGACCAGTGCCGTGCTGAGACTGTCCCCCATCGCCCTCAGGGCTGGGATGCGGGGCGGCCTCGCTGCTCCCCGACATGCAGGCGGCTGAGCCGTGCTGACCGCCGCGGGGGCAGCCCCTCACACAAGGCCAGAGTGCACCGAAGCCCCTTCCCTGGCTG